TCGTGAATGCTGTTTGCTCCGCGCTCGAGGGGCCAGAATCCATGGTAGACTACAAATGTCTCCGCGCCCCCAGTCCACGATCCCTCCCAAATCACGCTGCGTCCGCGCCCCCAGGGCCGCGATCCCTCACGAGTTGCGCAGCGCCCGCGCTGCCAGGGCCACGATCCATGGTAAAAGTACGCTTCTTCCGCGCCCCCAGCGCCACAGGGCACTCTGCGGCGCACGCCGCGGGGACATCTGACAGGGGGGACATGCCAGGAGGACGCGCCGCAGCACGCCCCAGGCGACGCGCCGGCAGGGGACGCGCCCATGGGGGCATCGGTTCTGCTATGTGAAGCCGTCATTGGCCGTCTTGGCTGCGTAGAAGCCCGACTTGAGGCCACCTGGGGCCACATTGAAGCAATCCGGAAGCCTCCCGGGGGCTTCCTGGAAGCAGTTTTGACGCATCGGGGGCACTGTTTGGCTATTTTCGGGCCTCTTGGACGTCTCCTAACACTAGAAAACTAAAAACCAAAAAAAAAAACTAAAAATAAAAAAAAAGAACAAACTCCTCTAAGTAAAATTAAAGATTAACAAATAGGTAAAACAACGAAATAAAACAAAGAATCCTAAAGAAAACCAAACTAAATAAAAAGACTAAAAAGTACTAAAAGTAAATAGATAACTAAAATAAAAAAGAATCCTAGGGGCCTTTTGGGCCCTCGGGAAGCTTTTGGGGTCCTCGTCGGACCACTTGGGGGCCTCTTGCGGCCTCCTGTGGGCCTTTTGGGGGGGACGCTCTGCTGTTGGGTTCGCGTTCCCCTTCTTGGGCCTATCTTGGGGCTGTCTTGGGACCCTCTCGGGCCGTCTTGGGCGCCTCAAGCACCGTCTTGGGGCCCTAGTGGGCCGTCTAGGGGCCCTCTTGGAGGCCTCTTCCTCTACATTGGAGCGGTATCCTCTTGGGCCGTCTTGGAGCATCGGGATGTCAAAAGACTCAAACATTTTGAGCCCGTCAAAACTCAATCGTAAAACAATGAGTTGTGCCTCTTGGGGCCACCTTGGGAGATCTCTTGGAACCTTGTCGGCACTCTTGGGAACTTCTTGGGGGCCTCTTGGATCCTATTGGGGGCCTCTTGGGGCTTCCCGAGAACCTCTGACGGTGGAAGGCTCGGATTTTCGGTTCGTGTTCCCCTTCTTGGGCCTCTTGGGGCCGTGTTGGTGCCCTCTCGGGCCGTCTTGGGCGCCTCAAACACCGTCTTGCGGCCCTCGTGGGCCGCCTAGGGCCCTCTTGGAAGCCTCTTCGGCTATCTTGGAACTGTCTTGGAGGCCTCTTGGGCCGTCTTGGGGCGTCGGGATGCCAAAGGGCTGAAAACTTTTAACTGTTAAAAGCTATCGGACAAACAAATTGTGCGTGCCTATTGGGACCTTCTTGTGAGGCCTCTTGGAACCTCTTCGGCACTCTTGGGAGCTTCTTGGGAGCCTCTTGGATCCTACTGGGGGCCTCTTGGGGCTTCCCGAGAACCTCTGGGGGTGGAAGGCTCGGATTGTCGGTTCGTGTTCCCCCTCTTGGCCCCCTCTTAGGGCCGTCTTGGGGCACTCTCGGGCGCCGTCTTGGGGCCTTCTTGGACCGCCGTGTGGCAGTCTTCGAGGCCTCTGGGGCTGTTTTGGAGCGGACATTGGGGCCTCTTGGGCCGTCTGGGAGCGTCGGGAAACTGAAAAGGCGAGAACTCGAACACCTTTCAAAAACCAAAGTTTGCCACCTGGGGTTCTTTGGGAGGCATCTTGGAAGCCTTTTGGGGCGTCTTGGAGGCCTCTTGGACAATCAGTAGCGAATTCTGGGTAATCTCGGGCCGTCGTTGGTCGTTTTTCTCGGCCTGGAAACGCCATTTTTGAGATCTGGGGCAATCTTCGGGCGATCTTAAGAAGTCCCCGGCGCCCCTGCAGAGCCCCAGGGGCCCCTTTGGGCCTCTTGGGGGTCTTCTGGGGCCTCTTGAGGGGCCTCCTGATGGCCTCCTGGCGGCCTCTTGGGGCGGAAGGCTCGAGCTTGCGGTTCGTGGTCCCCCTCTGGGCCCCCTCTTGGGCCCGTCTTGAGGCCCTCTTGGGCCATCTTGGGCGCCTCTTGGGACCGTCTTGGGGCCTTCTTGTGGGGGGGCTGTCCTGGGCCCTCTTGGAATGCTTCTTTGGGCCGTCTTGGGCGGTCTTTGGGCGCCTCTTGGGCCGTCCTGTACGGTCGGAGAAACCCAAAAAGAACAAACTTTGTTGAATGGACGTTTTACTAAGGGAAATGGCCGATTTTTTTTGCGTCTAGGAGGTGCCCTCTTGGGACCATGTTTGGAGGCTTCCTTGGGGCCTCTTGGGGGCGTCATTTGGCGTCTTCTGGGGTTCTCCTTGGGCCCTCTTGAAGAAAACCAAAAAAAAAAAGAAAAAAGTGGCAATCATACACATGGGGAATACGCGGACTATTGGGGCGGAAAGGCTCGAGAAAAAAAGAAAAAATAAAAATAAAGAGAAAAAAAAAAAAAAAAATAAAAAAAGAGCTTGCGGTTCGTGGTCCCCCTCTGGGCCCCGTCTTGGGCCCGTCTTGGGGCCCTCTTGGGCCATCTTGGGCGCCTCTTGGGCCGTCTTGGGGCCCTCTTGGGCTGTCCTGGGGCCCTCTTGGAAACTTCTTGGGCCGTCTTGGGGCGGTCTTGGGCGCCTCTTGGGCCGTCCTGTAACGTCGGAAAGCCCAAAAGGCGACTTTGTGAAAAATTTACGTTTTACGAAGGGAATGTGTTAATTTTTGCGTCTAGGGGCCCTCTTGGGACGCATGTTGGAGGCTTCTTGGGGCGTCTTGGGGGCGTCCTTGGACGTCTGGGGTCTCCTGGGGCCTCTTGAGGGGCCTCCTTGGGGCCTCCTTGGGGCCTCCTGGCGGCCTCTTGGGGCGGAAGGCTCGAGCGTGCGGTTCGTGGTCCCCCTCTGGGCCCCCTCTTGGGTCCGTCTTGGGGCCCTCTTGGGCCATCTTGGGCGCCTCTTGGGCCGTCTTGGGGCCCTCTTGGGCTGTCCTGGGCCCTCTTGGAAGCTTCTTGGGCCGTCTTGGGGCGGTCTTGGGCGCCTCTTGGGCCGTCCTGTAACGTCGGAAAGCCCAAAAGGCGACTTTGTGAAAAATGTACGTTTTACGAAGGGAATGGGCAATGTTTTGCGTCTAGGGGCCCTCTTGGGACGCATGTTGGAGGCTTCTTGGGGCGTCTTGGGGGCGTCCTTGGACGTCTGGAGGCCATCTTCAGCATCTTGGAACCCTCTTGGAGGCCTCTTGGAAGTTTCTTGGGCCGTCTTGGGCGCTCCTGGGGCCGTCTTGTCTGACTGGGGAGGCCTCCGGCAAGCCCCGACGAGCCTCCGGGCCCCCCGGGGCGCACATTTGTGGTCGAGGTCCCGGCCCCGGGCCCCCGGACCCGGTGCGCCGTTATATGTATATAAATATGGGTTCGGAATTTCATCCTGACCATGAATTGGACCCCGGGGCCCCCCGCCCCCGAGAGGTCAACCACGAGATCCTAACCAACATCCATAAGGCCTCCTCCTCCTCCCCCTTCACCCTTCCTCCTCCTACTCCCTTCCGCCTCCTCCTCCTCCTCCTTCTCATCCTCGTGCCCCCCCCCGTGTTGTCTTTCGTCATCTTCAGGGTCGGCGGCAACGGCCGTAAGGCCTTCGCAATATGGGTTCGGAATTTCATCCTCACCATGAATTGGACCCCGGGGCCCCCCACCAGGACCTCGGGGCCCCCTACCAGGACCCCGGGTTTCAAGCGGGTCCCGGACCCCGGGCCCCCCTACCAGGAGCAGCTCTTCGGACGTGGCCGAGGGCTCCTTAGAAGGAGGCTGCTTCTTAGAAGGCGCCGGCCTTACAGATTGAGGCCCGCGGCGTCTGAGGTAGGGAAACGAGCTCTATACACCGACGCTTTCTCCGACCCTGCATTAGAATTTGCACTGGAGAGCGGATCCAGGTGTATACAGGACCCTGGTGTATACATGTTTCGCTGTTTCCCCGGGACATCGGAGAAACAAGTATACACCACACCACCCCAGCGTTGTCCCCGACCCTACAAAGAGTCCTGGGATTGAAAGAGCGCCCGCCACTGGTGATGTATGTGTTGCAGTTTCCGACCCCCCCCCCCCTCCCCCCACCTGACTACCTACCAGACCACCCCAACCCAACCCGAAGACCCGAATTTGACCCGAATTTCGGGTTGGGGGGGGTACGGGTTCCATGTGATTTTTCAACGTTCCCCGACCCCCCCACACTGGAAATGGAGGGCAAATTTGGGCCTTCGGGTTGGGTTGGGGTGGTTTGGTGGGTGGTGACCACCACCTTCTGCGCGTGGCTGACTCCTGTCACTCCTGGCGGGCAGCCTCGAGCCTCCAACCTCTAACCTCCGCCGGCCCCGCCCGGGCATCCCTGCCCTGGGCCCCGAGAGCGGCGACATGCGGGGAACGCAGGCGACTACATGCCAGCAGTCGTCAGAACACCGAAACCAGCTTAGCATTGGTGGTGGTCGATGTGGGTGTCCCGGACGACCAAATCGACCGCAACCACAACCCAATAGTTCATGCTGAGGTCGGTGGGTTCTCGCCCGAGAGGCCCTACAGAAAAATCCCCTCAATTCTGGTTGTGGTTCTCTGTCGTGCCCCGACGAAAGAACTCAAGCGCCCCCTGCTCCTCAGGGACTCGGTCTGCCCGTCTGCCCTGAGATCCGACGTCGCGAAACAAACGCAACCGATGCAAAGAAAAAACGCCCAGAACAAAAGACCCCAACTTTCTGCGCCACCTCTCGGGCCCGATCGATCCGTGAGGGTCCAGGGTCACGCCCTGGACCCCATCTTTCTTCGCCATTTTTCGAGCCCGATCGATCCGTGAGGGTCCCGGGGCCCGAAGGGATGCCGAATCGGCCGTGGCGAGTAAAAGTAAACCCGAGGATCTCAGGGTGCCCCATGGCGACGAGGCGCCTTGGGCCCGCCACCCCCCGCCGCGGGCGCCGCGAGGGGCGCCTCGAGCGCGCGGGAGCTGCGCTCGCTGGCGAGGCGCTCGCCGACGTGGGCCTTGAGGTCCGCCTCAGCGCGAGGGCTCACCGCACTCGCGCGCGGCTTGCGGGCTGGCGTCTCGCCGCCGCCGCCGCCATCGTCGTCGTCGCGCTCGAGGCAGGGGGCGCATGATGAGGAGGTCGTCCTCCCCGCCTTCGTCCTGCACGAATGGGGGGGATGGCCAGGGGACCCGTGGGTGAGGATCAGAGGGTGGAGAGGGGGGGCAGGGAGAAAAACGAAGAGGAGGAGAAGGAGGAGGAGAAGGGGGAGCAAAAGCAAGAGCAGGAGCAGGAGGATGATAATCATGAGCATGGGAGAAGGGACAGGGCAAGGCAAGGACATGGACGAGATGGGGTGAGGGGGGAAGAGGCGGGTTGTGCGTACGGAGGAGTTCCCAGAGACGTTGGGAAGCTTCCCGCCTCCCTCTTCCCCGTGCCTCCAAGCAATCCCCCGATACTTTCCATCCTGCTCACCCTCCTCGCCCTCTCGTCGCCCTGATTCTCCTCCCCCCGCGCCTCCCCCCTCAGCCCCACCTTCGCCATCCCTTCCCTGCTGCCACCTCCTCGCCCCCCGCCCCGCTCCGGCGCCCCGTCCTCGTCCTCGTCCTCCTCCTCCTCCTCTTCCTCCTTCTCCTCCTCCTTCTTTCTCCTCCTGCTCACCCCCCTTCCCCTCCCCCTCCCCGTGAACAGTTCGGTTCGAGCCAAAGTTGGGCTCGAGACCGCCCGCGGGTGCCCGTAGCGAGTTCGAGGGCCTCACCAGCCACATGTGATTTTCTTGGGCGCTCGAAACAGCATGCGGCAAACTTTGAATCAGACCTGTCATGGTCAAGTCAGGAATCGTTCTCGACCCTGTCTCAGGGCCTCCTCCAACCGAGTTGCGCACCGCCGGCCTGGAAGGGTATCTGCGCGGGCAAGCATGTGACGCCCGCGGCAGTCCAGAAAGATGCATTGCCCCGAGCTGGACTGCCGCGAGCGTCAGATGCTTGCCCGCGCAGATACTCTTCCAGACCGGCGATGCATCACGCTGGTGAACTCTTCCTGTGCTCATTTGCTCCTCTGGCTCAGCAGTCTACCTCCCGAAGGCCGCACTTCCCGGTGGAGAGAAAGAGAGAGAGAGAGAGAGACAAACAAAAACGACGGGGGTGGACAAAGGGCAGCCCGCCTGGGAAGGAATATGTGACCAGGCTAGGGCGGCCTCGGCGAGACTGGCCAAATCCGTCCAAACGATTGCGTGGAGGAGGGGCCCACCCCGTTCTTCAAATGCGCCAAAGACTGACCTGTACCTTTATTCCTGGGCCCTTCTACGGCTTTTCACGAGGAGGTGCACAGATCACGAGGTGCCGAAGGGTCCGCACCAACGCCTACCAACAACTTGTGAGAGCTGCGGGCAAGCCTGGCCAACCTGGGAAATCCGCTGCGCGGTGCGCAGCAAAGTACTGTCCGAGAGGCAGTCATACCCCCCAGGTGGCACAACAAAAAAACGATGGCTGCCCTGATCATATCTGCTGACGTCATGTCCATTGGGTAGACGGTTTCAGCCTCTTGGGGGGCCCCACCTTCTCCACATCTGCAACATCTCCCTCCGAGAGAGCACGTAAAAAGACGGCTGCAACTGTCCTAACATACGTACCTGCTCCCTGAGAGAGACGTATAGATCTCTGACATGAGGGTTGTGTGGGTGGCACCGGGCACCCAACGCGGCCAACCTGTCAGCCTCCTGATTCCCTTTCCAGGCCCAGACCTGACGCCCCTGCTGCAGAGCCCAGTGGAGGAAGAGATGGGACTTGATTTTGACGAGCAAGATACTCGAACGGCCCATGTCTTCGCCTTTCTCGAAGATGAGCTTCCACAACTCGATGAAGGCAGGGCGCTCCGCGGGCCGGTCGGGCCCCTGCTGCCAAACAACAGCCCGTATCCTGCAGTCGGTCACGATCGCGTTTTTTTTCCTGCTCCTGCCTACTGAAGGACCATCCAAAGGGCGCGTGCTTCGCCGCGACTCGACTCCTGGATGGGGTGGGGAAGGGGCTCGTAGCACGAGCCCGCGATTTCGCGCGAGCACCCCGCCCTGGCGACCGTGGCCCATCCCCCGCGGGCAAGAGGGAAGTCGGGGTCGATCGCAGAGCCGTCGATGCACATGCCAAGCGGACGTTTTCCCCACTTGATGCCAGGGGGCTGCGCTGCGTGGGGCCATCCTGCTTCGGGTGAGCGGGCCAAGCGCCTGCTGATAATAACTGGGCCAGCACTTGCAGCGTTGGCTCGTCCAGCCGACGTGACGAGATCCACGAGTTAGCGCGCTCCATGAGTTCATGGACAGCGGAAGAAACGATGAGGCGGAGCTCCGGCCCCCACCTTGCACCGCTGACACCTCGGATCGACGACGCGCCTGCCCAGGGACAAATCGCGCTGGGCGGGGAAGCCTCCTGCGACCAGGCCTGCCAGCAGGCGGGCCCTTCTGCTCGCTCTGACCTCCAGCCCTCCAACGAAACTCAGAGACGAGTGACGCGAGAGGCCGGGGCGTGCGCGTGCGCGGGGGGCGAGGGCGGGGCGGGGGGGGGGGCCCGACGCGCCCCAGACCTTCTTGCCAACGCGGAACCCCATGGGCGTGAAGATGTCCTCCTGGATAAATTTGGCGCTGGAACGCTTCCCAAGTCCGAGACGTGAATCGATTTCTCGCCACAGGTGAACTTCTGGTGCCACCTGGGGACCTCCCATCCCAAATGGCGAAGGGCGAGCGCGACCACGCCAGCTGGCCCGCGAACATCCTGCCACGCAAAACACGGCGCAGACTGAGCAGCAGAAACACGCGCACGCACGGTTTCGCGCGCCGCCTCCCCCGTCGCGGGCCGCGCGGCCCCAGGCGACGAGCTGCGAGATGTTGGCCTGGCACTCTGGGTCCGAGGCAGGGCAACTGGATGGCGTGAACTCGAGAGCGCGGCTTCTGCCTTGAGCCGCGCCAAAACTTGAATGCGCCAGAGCGGCCCTGAGCCCTTCGGCACGGCTGTCTGTCACGCATTGGACACAAGTACCGTGCAGCCCCGCAGGTAACGCTCCTCCCCCGACAAATCATCATGAGGCCGTGGAAGGAACTCGTCAATCTGATGAACTTGGATGTCCTGGCCCTGATCTTTCCGAACCTGAAGATGATCACCTTCTTGGCCTTGAGCCCCTTGGGGCTCGTCCCAGGGGCGCGCCCAAGGCCCCCCGCGGCGCCGGCCGCCTCGCGAATTTCCAGCGAACGACCCTGCGAGCAATCCCCTGGGCGACCGCCTTGCACGAGGGGGGCGCCCCCCCCCTTGGAATCCGAGATGACCGGGCACAACCTTTCCGGACTGAGGTGCGCATGAACTGTCGCGTTGCCCAACCAGGACTGGACAATCTCGGCTGGCCCCGACGTGAAGAGAGCAAAATCATCAACCAATTCGAAAGGGGAACACCGACCGCCGCGACTCGATCATCCAGGGGGCCCTGATGAAACATGCCATGCAGCGTGGTCGCAAGCGGGCAGCCTGCGAAGATAGTCTGGAAGACCTCCGTGCTCGCTGAGCAAACCCCAGCAAGACTGAGCACCCGTGGGGCACGGCACTGCAACATGGAGACGAAGGCCCCCGCTTCAGCGCGGCGAGGATGAGAGGGCAGCGGCGCACTTTCTCGCGGGCCTATGCGAGGCCCAAGAGGGCGATGCCCGCAGTGCCCCCCCTGAAGTTCACATGTTCGACTGACGGGCTCTGCTCCCAGACGTCCTGCTCGCGCGGTCGCCCTTGGACCCCGCGGATATCGTCGCGCGCGCCATCTTCCCCCCGAGACACCGCCTCGTACCTGTCGAGCTTGCTGCAGACCCGAGACGCGCCAGTCACGACCCCAATGGGCCGGTACCCTCCTTCAGGTTTCAACGACTGGGCCGCGAGGATCAGTCAGATGCAGGAGCTTAGGGGCCCCTCGACCTCCTGCCAATACCAGAGCAACCCCACGCGCTCCAGAGCCCCATCGGACAGGTTCCCGAAATACCGCGGGCGGAGCACGTCGGCCCCCATGGCGGTGCAGGGCTTGAACTTTCCGGCGACAGCTCGGATCTCTCCTGGCTAACGCTGCCAAGGGCAGAGATCAGCGGCAGCATCTCAACCCGCCTGAGCCTGCCCAGGGAGCTCCAGGTTGAAAAGGGGGGCGGGGTCGGGGAACTCGTCGGCGCAAGGGCGGGGGGGCGCCCAGACCTTGGTCCAGGAATTGAACATCTCATCGACTCGCTGCTGAGGTCCTGGCGGAGGGCCCCCTTCCAGACCGCCACCCGGGACCCGAACGGCCGCAGGTTTGGTGCATTTGCGGGCTCTTCCGCTCCACGAGCGAGCTGCTTGTGCCACCCGGGCTCGCCACCTGGCTCGTCTCTCGGACTTGAAACGCTGCTCGCACTTGGTGGCCAGCGTGGTGGCCTGGACAAACACGTCGTGCCACTCTTTGGTGGAGCGCAGGAAGAATGTCTCGAGCGGCGGCATGCAGCCCGACCATTCCTTGCGCGCCTGGAGCCGAGCAGGACCTTTGACCAACCTGTGGAGAACACGCGCAATCTTCATCTCCCCACGAGACTTGGCCACCTGCATCCAGCCCCTGGGTTCAGAAGAACCGATGGGATAAGCCCCTCCAGACGCCCGCAGAGCAGGCGACCAGACAAAGCGAGGAGTTTGGCCCCTCCCCCAATGCTTGGGACGCCCCCCGCGGGTCGATGCCGTGTGCCGCGGATAAATCATCTCCCGACTTCTGGAAAAACAGCGGGGAAAGCCGTGTCTAGCTGCTGCTGCGAGCCTCTGGCCTCGGCGGTGGCAACCGGCTGGCTCCAGTCTGGCGGCCGACGAGCTGGCCCGACTGGACGCTCGCGAGGGGGCGGCCCTCGGCCTCCGCAGCGCTCGAACTATCGAGTCCAGATGCTTACCTGACAGAGTGGGGGTGGCAGGCCAGCGCGTCTTGACCCGCGAAGCTTCGCTCCTTCGGACGCCTCCGAAGACCTTGCGCCTGGCCCTTTGTATGACAAAGCTGGTGCTTACAGAAGCCGTTGCAGAATCGTCAGGCGCGTTTGTTTGTCCCATCGAGAGCTCTCATTTTGGTCTGCCTTTCGAGCTAGGTCTGCAAACCTATTCGTATTCTTCGAATTATTCCGACGAGTGCTAGAGAAATCGACGGTGCGCCACTCGCGCCCAGTAGACCTGCAGGTGGGCTCGGGGGCAGCGACAATACAGCATCCTAGACGCTGGCCATCCTCCATCCGAAACTTGCTGCGGGGCACAGTTCCAATCAGCTCCGATAGTGAAGGGGGCGCCCGCGCCGAAGAGGCACTCCCCCAAGCGCGAAAGAACGGGGCCCTGTTCAGGTCCCAAGTGGTCGCCCGCAGGAAAGGGGCACCGGGACTCCCAGGAAGCCTCCTTCAACGAACGAGCGACGTGGGCGACCTTGACCCGGCGGGGGCCGGGGGGGTCTGGCGACGTCCGGAGCGCGTCTCACAGATCCTTGACCTCGTCACCTAACACCCAAACCTCTTGGAGGAGCACTATGGAAGTCTCAGTCTCCTTCTCGAGATAAGCCTGCAGAGATCCCCAAGACGTCGCATCGCACGTCTCCAGCAGGAAACGTCGGGGTCCACGTTGGCGCCCAGAGGGGAACTCAGCTGGGCCCTGTGATTCCAGGGGCTCTCTCGGAAGTGGGGCAGGTGATTCGTGGGGAGCTGGCCTCCTTGGGCCGAGCCCCCTGCGAGCGAGATGCGAACGTCGTGCCCGGGACTGACAGGAGCAGCGGCCCCCTCGTCCGACGATGGGGACGCTGGAGGACGCGAGCCTGCTCCCACGATGCCAGGAAGCCCTGCACTGAGTCCTCCGTCCACCTGATCCTGACAACTTTTTTGTTCGACACTTGGCGCAGCAAGTAGTGGGGGGGGAGCGGGCAGCCTCTCCTGGTCCAGGAACGGGGAGGCGAGGCTGGCCGAGATGGTGCAGCTGGCGATGTGCTCCGTGTGAAAGAGGCCAGTCGGCTGGAGCAACACCGACGCCATCGACACATTGCTGGCTAAATTGACTGCGGCGCCCCCGACGCCGCCGGCCTGGACTTGGCCGTGGCCGCAAGGAGATCCTTGGCCTCGGACCACAGGCCACCGATAACCTTGCCCTTGCCCTTGCCCATGCCGATGACCCCCGCGACCGCAAGAGCAGGTTCAGCAGGCGGCGGAGCTGGCGTGTCGGCCCCAGGGCCGCTGGACCTCGCCCCATCCGCTGCTCTCGCCCTCCTGCGTCTTCCTCGTCTTGGCCTGGAAACGCTCCTTGACCTGCTCGCGCTCGGCTTTGAACTTCTCCGCCATGTCGCGGGCCGCGCCGAACGATTCGCGCGCCAGCCTGGGGAGCTCGTCGGACAACTGCTCCTCCCTCTGCTTGGCCTCCTCCAGATCATCGGGGTCCACATCCTCGCAGCCCGCCAGAGCGAGCAGGGTGGAGGCGCCGCTGGAGGTGACAGAGGCGTGCCCGTCGAGTACCTCCCCGGGGCTAATGGCGGCCGCCGTCTGCTCGGAGGCCCCGGGCTGGGGTTGGGGGGCAGGTTGGGCCACCTCGTCGTGCAGCTCCTGGATGGCCCTGGTGTGCTGCGAGTCCGCCTCCGCCAGCCTCGCCTGGGCCTCCTCGACTTTACTCCGCTGCAACTCGAGCTTGGCCTGGATCGCCGACAGCTGCTCGACCTGGTCGTCCAACTGGTGCTCGAGCCTCTTGACCTCTGTAGCGGTCCGCGCGGGCCTTAGCAGGCTCAGGCGGCTTGGGCAGCGAGGACTTCAGGCCAACTCATGCTGCTCGGTGACCTGCACATTCCCAGACTTGCGGGCGATATCGATAAGCTGCTGCACCTCTTCTCCCGACATCTTGTCCACGGACGGCAGGGCACCAGGAGGAACCACATCGCCAAGAGCAAGAAGCGGCCGACGGCCTTTGCCCTTGTCCTTGGTGTCCTTGCCCCCCTCGTGCTTGTGGTCGTCGCCTCCGTCCCTGAAACAATACTGCCTGACAATGGCGGCCGCAATGCTTGCAGTGATGCATATTTAACGTGTTCTTCCCGCAACCTCATGCCTCACAACGCCAACGGGCTTGTTGGCCAGCATTTTTCCGCCAGGGTGCCTCCACCATCGCACTGCAAAACGAAGAGACTGGCAAACGTGACCCGTCGCGAGAACAGAAATATTACACGACCGCACGGGGGCTCACCGTGGAGATTGTGAGATGGGAAGCCTGCTGTGGGCAGCTCGCCTCGAGCCAGCCGCCTTGAGCCAAAATGGCTTGAGCCAAAATGGCTACGGACTGGCTAACTCCTCCTCCTCCTCCTCCTCCTCCTCTTCTTTCTCCTCCTCCTCCTCCTGCTCCTCCTTCGGTCCCCTGGACTTCCGGAGGCGTGTGTTTAAACCAACGCAGACCCCCAGCAGACCCGACGCCTTCCCGCGGGACGTGTGTTCTATAGTGGTCGGCCTTTTGCTGGCTTCCCGGGCCAGGCGCCCGAGGACGCCGGAGAATTGCAGACCAACAGTTCGTCGTACACCTTCCTGGTGCGAGGAGGTGGTCCCAGTGCATTCAGGCAGTCAGATAAGCCCATGAGGAAGAGGAGGAGGAGGAGGAGGAGGAGGAGGAGCAGGAGGAGGAGGAGGAGCAGGAGGAGCAGGAGGAGGAGCACCAATGTAAACCCAAGACGCATCAAAGCTGTTGCAATAACCTTCCGTCCAAGTGCCCTCTTCATAGGTTCTTCCTCTCATAGGTCCCAACAAGAATTCATGTTCATTGCGGAACGTTCCGGTGAAAGGACAGCCGCCCGAGAATCATCGATCGTGCTGAGACACTACTCTTGTGACTTCAGCGCCGCGGATCAGCATGACTGGTCCAGACAACCCTGAAGCGTGCCAAGACACTATTCCTGGGACGTCGATACCGCAAATCAACATGACTGTTGCGTCCTGCCAATCGTAGCTCGTGCCAAGCACAATTCCTGGGACCTGGGACTCCGACCGCACGAACAACGTGTAACAGAACTGCGCGCGGCGCGAAGGCGAGAGCCACACAACCGCCATCAATATTCAAAACTGCTGCAAACTTTTGAGACGAAGGTGCGCGGCGCGAATGCGAGATAATCGAATTGAGAAGGACCCGCCCTCCACCAGTGAAAGGCTTGCAACATGTGTAAGACAAGCGTGCGCGGCGCTAGCAACACGTGGATAGCCTCCCGCCCTCCCCATCCATCCGTGCAGCTGCTGCAAAGTGTTTTTGAGACGAGTGTGCGCGGCGTCATGGCGAGACTTACATTCGCACGGCAGGAAGCTGCGCGAGGGAGGCGGAGGGAGGAAGGAGCAAAGGATAGATGAGGTGGAAGGAGAAGGGAAGGGGGATACAACACGAAAAAGGGAGACGGAGAGAGGGACTGGAGAGGAGGGGCGAGGAGAGGGCCTCTTGGGCGCCATCTGGGCTTCTGGGGGCCTGTGTGGGCCTCGCGGGCGGTTCTGGCCAGCTTGTCGGAGCCTCTTAGGGGTTGCGTTGTGGCCTCGTGGGTGCCTCTCCGAGCGTGAACACGGCCCGCCCTGCATCGGTGAAGCAGCTGCACACTTCGAGCTCCAGGAGGTCTCAGTGAGTTGCGCACACTGGTAAAAAGACGTCTCGAACGAACAACGCCCGACGCGCCCGACCGGCAAGTCGTGGGGGTGCGGCAGGGGAAGCGCTGGTCATGAGATGGGCACTGAGGATGATGAGGAGGAGGAGGAGGAGAAGGAGGAGGGAACGAGGGGGGGAGGAGGAGGAGAAGGAGGAGGAGGACGAGGAGATGGAGGGAGCAGGAGACAGGATAAAAGAAAGGGGGAGGGAGGAGAGGAGGAAGGGGAAAGGAGGAGAAGCGATCCGCAGACGGCCCCGCGCGATTGCACTGGAGGCGGGGGCCTGCCTCCTCCGCCCCCTCCCGCACGCGCCGCTGGACGCCCCTGGGCCGCGCCTCCATCGTCTCCAGGCGGTCCACCACGGTGTTCCCGAGGTGCTCCTCACGCCCCCGCCCCCCCCCCGCCTGCCCCGGGCGAGCGGGCGAGCGGGCGAACCCCGAGGACGACGGAAGGTTTCAAGGAGGGGGGGGGGAGAGGCGACGGCGGAGGCAGGAGAGAGAGAGAGAGAGAGAGAGAGAGAGCAGAGAACGAGGGAAGATGGGAGGAGGAGGAGGAGGAGGAGAGAGAGAGAGAGGAGGAGGAGAAGGAGGACAATTTGTTTGAGCTCAACGCCAACACCTCACGAGCTCTGCGGGAGGAGGAGGAGGAGGAGGAGGAGGAGGAGGAGGAGGAGGAGGAGGAGGAGGAGGAGGAGGGGAAGAGGGAGGCACGAGAGGGAGGTGAGGGAAAGGGGATGTGAGGGATGAAGGGTGGGGCGCAGGGAGAGATGAAGAGAGGCGGGTGGTGGGGCAGAGGAGGAGGAGACGGGAGAGGAAGGGCAGAGTAAGGCAGCAGAGGAGGGTAGGAGAGAGGGGAGAAGAACGGGGGGGAAAGGGGAGGGATGGGCGGAACCCTCCGAGGGAGGCGAGAAAGGGAAGACACAGGGAAGTCACTGGTAGGCGGATGAGGGTTGGCTGCACGCGCGCATGGGCGGCCCTTGGCAAGCGTGACCTCTGGTGCGCGGCGTACGGGACCGCTGGGGGATAGGGGGGTAGCGGTGGGGGGGGGGGGGGGCAAAGCCGGGCGCGCAGGCGAGCGCTGGGGGTCCCGCTCCAAACGTCACGCCGGCGAGGGGTCACTCTTGCGCCTGGCCGACGGGAGGGGGGGGGCGGTTCCACCTCTGGGATCGGCGCCGTGCCCCCCCTCATCACACCCTTCCAAAGGGGCGGCGGGCGGAAGAGGAGGAGGAGGAGGAGGAGGAGGAGGAGGAGGAGGAGGCTGAGGAGGAGGAGGCGGAGGAGGAAGGGGGGAGAAGGAGCGGAGGAGGTCGGCGCCCCTTCCCCCCTTGTGACGAGGAGGATGATGAGGAGGAGGAGGAATGAGGACGAGGAAGGGTGGGGGAGAGAAGGGACGGTGGTGGGTCCAGTTCATATTCTTCTGATGCGTCTTCTGCGTCTTCTTCTTCACCACCACCACCACCACACATTTCTGACCAGTGGGCGGCTGACCCGCGGTGGTGCTTCGCTAGGCGCGGCCGGCGCCCCGTCCAACAACGCACCAATGCAGGGCAGCGCCGCCTGGCCCAGAGCGGTGGCAGTGCAAAGTGGGCCCCTCAGACGAGGCGGAGGGAGGGCGAGAAGGGCGGATGGCTACGACGTCTTTTTATATATATAGAGGTTATATATACATATATATATATATGATGTATGCATGCATGCATGCATGCATGCATGCATGCACGTGTGCAACATCATATACACATACATATATATAATATACATATATATATATATATATATATATATATATATATATATATCCACTGCCCCAAGCCTTGCCAATCCTGGGCAGAGGAGCGGTGCATGTGCCTCCCTGGCCATGCCAGGAGAGCGTACACACTGGTGGCTGCGGCAGTGAAGCGTGGACCCTTCAGACGAGGCGGAAGGAGGGCAAAAGGTCCGCATATGGACAATAAGTTCGAACCCTTGCGTCGCAAAATGCCCCCCCCACCCCTGGACCCCCCAAATCCCTCCAGCCCTTTGGGCGCAGGTGGTCTAACGAAGTTCTTCTTTCCTCTTCCAAAGCCCCCTTTTCCCCTTCTGGGAGGGGTTGACCCCTCCCCCTACCCCCTCCCCTGGACCTGGACGGGGGGGGTCGCGAGCAATTGGAGCGCTCGAGATGGCCCAAGATGGCTCCAAGAGGGCCTCAGAGAGCCCAAGATGGCCTCCAAGATCGCTAAAGATAACCAAGCATGGTTCAAGATGGCTTCCGACATGCCTTCAGCAGGCCCCAAGAGGGCCACAAGACGGATCCAAGTGTTTTTGGAAACCCTTCAGGACCTCCCCGAGAAGCCAAAATCCTTCAACAACCTTGGGAAGTTCATTGATTGTTGTCTTTTCGCCTCTTCGCTTCCGATGCGCTTTTGAGGCCTCAAGATGGCCCCAAGATGACCCAAAAGCGCGCCAAGAGGGGCCCAAGAGGCCCCGACCACGACCCCAAGAGCGCCCAGCGGATATGCATAGGTTCGGTCGCCCCAGGGGTGGGGGAATTGTCGGGGAGACGTAAGATTAGGTCGGGCATGTCCTCCTACAGGTGGATCCTGGACAAAAAACAGACGCAAACAAAAAATCAAGAATAGTTAAAAATACTGGAAACATCGTCCCCATACTAATTTTGTGACTATTTTTGAATATTCCTCCTGGAGGGCGGGCCCGACTTAAACGTAAGACTCGTGTACGTGGGACTCGGGTTGGCCTGACGGGGCCATCATGAAAACGACGAGACCCAGTCGGAAACGTGGCGCGAGCTCCCAGTGCAGACATCCCACGAAAATCGGACCGTCAAAATCCAGGGTGCTCTCGTAAATAAGCGTCGGCAAACCCGAGTTCCGGCTTATTCGAGTCTTACGTTTCCCCGAAATTAGCACGGGGGAAACCAGGGCTCGACCTAAACCGTGTTGTTCGTTTTCGTTTTGTTGTTTTCCCTCGTTCTGTCCTCGTTCCTGCTTTGCTGCAGCAGAAACACAATCAAAACGAAAAGGGCCCACGAGATCGCTAACACACCGTTCAGGTGGAACCCTGGGGGAAACGGGTCCTGCGGGAGACGGGTCCTGGATCCAAAGGGCCTTCCCCCCAGGACGAGCTCTTCATCCTGAGTCGTCTTCTGACCGTCCGGTGGCCCGTGGAGGGCCGCGAGAGCCCGGAAACGGTGAAACACCGCAGGACCCGTTTCCCTCGGGACCCTCTGCCCCCGTGGCGAAGAAGAGGCCCCTGAGATCAGAGGTGAGGAAAAAATGCAGCACATAGCCAAACATCAAGCCCGAACCTCTGGACCCCATCTGTCTGCGTCCTTCTTCGAGCCGCATCGATCTGTGAGGACCCCGGGGCCCCAAGTCGAGCGAGAAAACGCCCGGCTCGAAAAAATTGCACCGCAAGGGATCTTAGGGGCCGTTTGACCGAGACCAGCGCAACCGCGGCCCCGCAGGGCGCGCGCCCAGCCTGCGGGGCGGCGCTGCTGCGAGGGCAGGCCCCGGGCCGTGTAAGACGGAAGTGGACAGTGGCGCGGAGGCAGGCGGAGAGGCGCAGCGAGCCGCCCTCCTCTCACGGGGTGCATGGCGACCCGTAAGAAAACATGTATCCACTTCTCGATTTGTGCGTGCCATCCTTGCGAAGGGGCCATGCTAATCTTCTCTGTATCGTTCCAATTTTAACGGATGATCCCCGAAGGAAATCCACGGGATGCATGGCGACCCTGGGTCCAGCGCCGATCCGGGAAGTCCGCGCGGACCTCCGAGTTTTTATGTTGTGTCACTCTTCGCTCCCCTAGCCTTAGACCTTAGACGCATCTCGGGAACGCGCGAGGGTGGAGGGGGCCATCCTCGATGCGGGGTGCGTCCGAAGAGCCCCCCGAGGTATCGACCTCTTTCCCAGGGTTTGGTGTCCGATGCTGTTCGCCCCAGCTCAGCTCGGAGTCCGATCCTGGGGACCAAGATCGATAAAACAGCACGCAGACCGAGATGGAAACGCCAGTCCGCCCGAGGCCTGGGGAAGTCCGCCCCCCCCCCCCCCAACATCGGTGGCGAGCGAGGGGGGAACGTGAGAAGGAGAAGACCTTCCCATCAGGCGGCGTGGCTTCTCAGAAGCCCTCGCGCCTTCTGATAGGTCTTCTGCGCCTTCAGGGGCAGCTTAGAACACGTCTCGGAAGGCCGGGGGACCTCCAATCCTTCTGAGAAGGCTTTATATTCGGTGGCAGCTCACGGGAGCCTTCCATAGCATCTCGTCGGGTCTTGCGAATCAGCGCTCATCGACGCTAGTCGACAATACTTCGACGCTTATCGACCCTAACCAACGCTAAACCGGCGCTATCTCGTCCACTCCCAGGCGCTAGTCGACGCTACAGGCGGAATTGATAGGGTATACCAGGCTCCCATGATTTGCTACCGAACTGATCCTTCTCCCTTCCCCCCCCGCGCTCGCCGCCGAGCTTCGCCCGGAGCCCCGTCCACGTTGCACTTGAGCTCCGCGGCGATGTTGGCCTGGGTCACACGGTCCTGCCCGGCTCGTCACAAGGGGGGAAGGGGCGCCGACCTCCTCCGCTCCTTCTCCCCCCTTCCTCCTCCTCCTCCTCCTCCTCCTCCTCCTCCTCCTTCTCGTCCTCCTCCTCCTCCTCCTCCTCCTCCTCGTCCTCCTCCGCCTCCTCCTCCTCCTCCTCCTCCGCCTCCTCCTCCTCCTCCTCCCCTCCTCCTCCTCCCCCTCTCCTCCTCCTCCTCCTCCGCCTCCTCCTCCTCCTCCTCCTCCTCCTCCCCCTCCTCCCCCTCCTCCTCCCCTCCTCCTCCTCCCCTCCTCCTCCTCCTCCTCCTCCTCCTCCTCCTCCTCCTCCTCCTCCTCCTCCTCCCGCTCCTCCTCCTCCTTCTCCTCCTCCTCCTCCTCCTCCTCCTCCTCTCCTCCTCCTCCTCCTCCTCCTCCTCCTCCTCAGCCTCCTCCTCCTCCTAGCTTCGGCTCGCGAGGAGGAGGACCCCCGCCTGGGTGCCTGCCTGGCAGGCGAGGAAGCGCCCCCCCCCCCCCACACCCCCATCGCGCGCTGGGACCAACGCCCACGGCGCCGCCACCACGGGAGGCGGCGGCGCACCACAGGCCGCGCCCGCGCCGCGCGGAGGACCGCGCCCTCCTCCGCGCCTGGTCTGGCAGGCCCTCGCCCGCGCTGCAGGAGCGCCCGTGGCGAGCGGCGAAGCGGCCGGAGGAACACCACGGCTCTTCGCCGGGCAGGATGGCGCCTGGCCCCCCCCGATCTGCGGGTGCTGCGTGGCCCCAAGACGCCGTTCTGGGGCTGCTTCTGCGGCAAGGCGAACAGCTAGGCCTCCCGCAACACGTGCTCCTGCGGGAAGTCGGCTCCGCGGCGCGTGGTCGATGCTGCCAAGCCGGCGGATCAGGACCTTCGTGTCGGAAGAGACCCACCACGTCCTGCAGGGGCGGGTGCTGCTACCTTAGGACAGATGGTACGCAAGCTCGCCCCGTAGTCCAAGGAGTACGTCGGCACGGAGGAGCAGATGAGGGCGCTCGCGCAGCAGGTGGTCAGGCTCGCCAAGAAGACTTTGGCACCTGGCACGGGAGCAGCTGCGGCCAAGCCAAGTGCGTGGTCCAAGGGGGAGCAGGACGGCGACAAGCCCAGCCACCACCAGCGGGCCGCCCTGCAGGAGAAGACCAACTACCATGAGAAGGGCCCCAAGGAGTGCAGCAAGGTGGAGGAGGACGGAGGGCCACTGCACTTTCTTCACCAACGTGCGCTCGAGGACCTACGACAGCAAGCGCGGGCACTTCGCCCCCCAGGTGCTGCGCACAAAGCCACAACACAGAAGCTGACGAAATGCAGGCAGCAGCTGGACAGGTACGAGAGCGACCTCAAGAGCTTGCAGAAACAGCTCGCGAATGCCACCGAATAGATCCAGGAGAAGGAGGCCATCACGGCAAAGCGTGCCGAAGTGGAGGTCTTCGAGCTAGAGGCAGACAAGCAGGAGCGCGCGCTGCTGGCAGCGTGAGGTAAACAGCCGACGGCGAAGACGAAGCTGGCCAGCTTCGCGGCGGAAGACACCATCGAGTTCGACTCCGACGATGCACTGCTCCGAGCTCCTGCGGCGAAAGAGGCGCTGGCGGCGTTCAAGGCCAGCCTCCGCATCGGGACGATCAGGGAGGCCTTGTGCAGGAAGGTCGAAGGGAAGCTGGCCTCATCGGCTGCTACTATTCCTGTTCCTGATCATGGCTATGACGGCAGCGAGCAACCTGGAGAGCAGGAAGCAGAAAGCACTGGCCCCATGCACGAGGATCACCTCCACGGTCGAGCTGAAAAGCGCGGAGCAGGAGACGTCCAATCCGCGGCCCTGGTCAAGGGGGACGTTGAGCAGCTCTGGGCGCAGCTCCACAAGGACGGCCAGCAGCCATCAACCTGGACGAAGGAGCAGCTCGAGAAGGCAGTCACCAGCGTGCAGAACACCAAGCCTGCAGGACTGCAGACGGATCTGTACGCACAAGTGGCGGGCCGGGCGGGTGACGCTCGACCGCGGGTCAGTCGGCTTCGTCTGCATGGTCCGCGCCCACCACTCCAGGAGATTCCCGAGCTGCTCAGGACGACGCGCACCTCCGAGACGCTCACGCGAACCAGGGTAAGAAGACACTGCAGCGACGGCTTCGACGTTGTACTGCAATGGTCATCTTGGCACAAGGGATCGGCCATGCTATCGACGACTGCGAGAGTCAAAACTCGTGGTCCACAGCGCACGGAAGGCAATGCTTAGTTGTGCCAGGTCAGGCGGCCATGGGACACCTACCATCAGCAGGGCTTGCAGTGTTCGCGCGGGAAAAATTCTGGCTTCGAAGACCGACTTACCCAAATGAAGCTCCACAACGCCGTGTAGGAGACGTGAGTGCTAGGATCGCCAACGGCACGGAGCTGGTTGCAGGTAGAGTGCAGCATGTGGACGTGGAGCTGCCGCATTGGCCGCCCATGAGCGTCTTTAACATCTACCTGCACGCGGCAGAAGGCATGCGCATGCGCAACGCGGAGATCCTCATGGCGGTGGGACTCGCCATGACGGGGCGGCAGTGCCCCAGCATCGCAGGTTGCGACTGGAACATGGATCCACAGATGGTGCGCGACTCCAGGTTCCCCGTGCAGGCGCAACTGGAGTCGGCGGTACCGCGTCACCCTACTTGCAGGACGGCATCAAGCCTCACCACGCCAGACTACTTCGGGCTCTCAGATGGAGCCATGAGAATGTTGGTCAAATGCAGCGCGGACCTTGGATGAATTACGAAACCACGCCGACCAGTGCAACTGCAACTCGTCGCGGAAGGCAGCAATGTACTGTAAATTGGAAGGGCGAAGATCACTTCCCAGGGGGTGCACGGCCCTTTCCTGGAGGAGGATACTTGGTCACTGGGCCGAGGATTTGCAGTGGAAGCCCTGCGCGTGGCCAAGGAGGAGGCAGCGACGGTAGCATGGCGTTTCCTACCTAAGGCGTGGAGTAGATGGGCTGTTCGGGCTGCGATGCGTGGTGGACGCCCCGCCAGCACTGATATCAAGGCAAGTTCCGATGCTCGCTCGCTGCAACCAAAATCGGTAGAGCGTTCTCAGTTGAGTGTGTCTGATGATGAGGTGCAGGCTATTGCGGGTGGCTGGAAGAGGCTTCAGGACAGTACGCATGGGTTGGTCACTGCAGAAGATGGAGCTCAACATGCTGCGGGACGACTCGCGTACGATGGTGAGGTGCAGGGCTTCATCGCTGCAGAGTATGTCGGACATAATCGCAGCGCGCGATTGGACTCTTCTGTGCAGCAGGAAAGGCGGGCGGTCCAAAGGGCGTGCACACGCGATGACATCACCCACCTCTTGGAGGACTTTGATGAGAACATCAACTACGCCATGCAGCTCGCCAACAAGGATTCCAACAGACGCTGGAAAGAATGGTGTGATGGTGCGTGCGCTGGAGGTGCAGGCAAGTTCCGTCGTCTTACCTGGGTGAGAGACGTGCCGACACCTACTACAGTCAATAAATGTGAGCACGGCGTCGCAGGACACCCGCACTACATCGCGAAGGCTATGGAGGAAAAGCATGCAGCACTTCGGAGGGCTACAACGGCAGCCCCAGAGGCGTGGATCCCTGACCGACCCACCCTAGATCGTCCGACACCAGCGGACATCAAAAGGGCCTTCAACTCTATAAGCGCGAAGACCTCCAGTAGCCTCGACGGTTTCCACCCTGCCCACCTGCAGCACCTGAACGACGACGCGCTGGAAATTCTGTGGGACATCATGCTGGCGCGTGAAGCGCAAGGAGTCTTCCCGACACAACTCACGTGGATGGTGATGCCGATGTTACCCACGGCAGCAGGCGAACACAGGCTGAGAATAGCGCATTCAATGGCACGCCGAGCACTGCAGCGTCTGTGGAAACCAGCACTGTCACATACACAGCAGCAGTTGGCGCGTCCCTTTTGGGGCGCGTCCGATTTTGGGACGCGGCACAGAACGAGAGCGCGATTGACAGCGCCTGGATCCTGGCTGCGGCTGCAGAGCAGAACGTACCCATTAGGCGCCGCACAGCCACTATCATCGCACCCTACAGCAAGTACTACGAGACCATCTCCCCGGATAAAGATCGGGATAAGCTGGCAGGACTGGGCATGCCTATGGCGATGGCGAAGGTGACCTAGAACTAATGGAATGGGCAACGAACCATGCGTCTTCGCCAACGCCATGGAACGCGACCTCGCCATGCGCATGATGGGCTTCCTGCCGGGGGCGGCTGCGCCGACTTGGTCCTCAAGGCGCATGCTCTAAAGCAGTATGACCAGTGCGTCACCCCTCGCACCCTGGTGGGGTTATCGCCCTACATCGGCGATCGCCGGGTGTCAACGGTGGCAAAAAGGACAGCGCGATTTCACGGGCAGCGCGCGCTGGGTAAGACTTCTTCGCCAACGCCAAGCGCCTGGGAGCGAGACTCAATGAGAAGCTGGCGGTCGTCGCCAGCTCCGTCAGCATCAACCAGGAAGTCGTCGAGCAGCTGGGCCTAGAGCTAAACCTGAAACAGCGGAGGGCCACCGACCTGGGCGCCGACCGCACAGGCGGACGACGACGGCTGGCCAAGCACACGAGACGAAGAGCACCACGACAGACTGCGAGTTCACCGGCTACGTCTGAGAAAGCTTAGGCGCTACCGACGACGACTTCCCGGGCAACAGACTCACAAGACTGGTGAGACACACCGCACAGGAGCCCGGCCAGCAGCCACGTATGGCATGGAGGTCAACGGACTTTCAGATGCAGTTACACAGACTACGGCGTGACTGTGGGAGGTTCTTCAAACCGCGCCATAGCGGGGTCTCCGCAACAGCGGAGCTGGCGCCGCTCGGGGACCCCGCGGTCGCGACAGCGATGGCTCCAGCAACAATGGTCTTGAATGGTTTGGACAACTGAATCGCAACCGCATCGGACTCTTGTTGAGCGCCAGAGGGCCCAGAGGGCCCCTGCAGCGCGCAGCGCTTTCCATCCCACGCG